AAGCTGCTTGTTAGTGGACTCTGGCAGAGGGAAAGTAAGGTATAGGAATGTTTGGTGAATGCGGAATTAAGATTGGGTTTACTGGGATTGTATTTAGTTGAATTCTTCAAGGATAACACAAACAGATAGTAATTGTCTAACTTGTCTCCGACTCTAAAGTTCTTTAACATCTTTATCCTCCTGTTCTTCCTTCTTCAACTCCTTGTCATCCCCTGCCACTTGTTATATAGCTGAAGCCAAGAGCAGAATCATCATAACTGCGAGATTGTGCACAATGCCACGAATCATGACATTCACCCAGTGGAATATTATATGTCTTCTTCAAAACGGCCAGGCAACAAAAATGTCAGTCAGGTCGCATCTTGCAGATTTCTTGACACAATGACAGAAAGCACTTGGAGAATGTAAGCAACACCAAAAAAAAATGTCAATCAGTATCTAACCTTTAAATAGATGATGCTCTCTTTAAATAGCTACTGAACGTGTGTTCTGTTGTGCAAGGTTAAGTGAGGCTGTTTATTGAAGCTTCAAGCTTCAAAATAACACTGCTGGTATCAGCGCTGCATATTTCCAGCAGACATTTCCTGAGTGCTTGCTAACATGCTTCAATGTGGCATTGATTACGATTCACTTCACACGTGTTCGTGAATGCCAAAGACATCCTTTTAGAGCCCTAACACCTGTCGCACCAAAACAAAACAAATGAGTCCAATCTCCCAGCCAATGTATTTCAGTAGACCGTAAGACATTGGAGCAGACGTTGGCATTTGAGCCCATCGAGTCTGCTCTGCCATTTAATGAGATCATGACTGATCTGATATTCTCAATTCCCTGTAATCTTTGATTGCCTGAATGATTACAAGTTTCCATGCTGTCAGTTGGGGTTTGGAGTTGGCTGTTGAAGCTGATAGACACAGCTCTCTCTCTCTCGCTGCAGCAAAAAAAAAGCTTGAGTCCACTCTCTGCTGCTAGATTGGTTCGTTCAGTGTTCCTTTCTCCTGGACAGGAAAGGAGATAGCACGTGAGGAGAATCTGTTTTGCTGAATTTGTCTTTGCGAAGGGCGTGCATATGGGATGCTGCTGCATTGAAACAGTTGATGATTAGTGGTTAAATAGTATATCATTTTATTATCAATGTATTTTATTTCAATAAAGTTATGTCAATTCATTTTGTTTGTATTTTAACTGTGTTGTAAGAATGAAGCATGTTTTGCTTGAAACCTAGTGGTGGACTAATCGAATCACATCTGGAACTCAGTGCCTTTCAATAAAATAAAAAGTTAGGATCTAGTCTATCTCCTTGACATATTTTGAGGAGGTTTGGTCAGATCTATAATAGCAATATAACTTTACAAACTTGAGAAAGGCATCAAATGCAGTGTTGAGTAATTTATATTATTTTGACAATTACTGCCTTGTGTTTATAAATAGCCCAAATTCAATACCAGTTACATCTCAGACAAAAAACAAAGAGTAGAAGTCAAAAGATTGGTTCTCATTGCACAGGTGTACATTTTTCTATTTCCCATGCACCGTCTCTGGCTTTAGAAAGCCAAACTGGTACCAGACAGTGGGTAGTTTAACACCATATACTATAGTTAAGTAGGAAGTGAGTGAATCTGATGAAACTCATTTCATACAGAGATCTTTATAGAGTGTTTGGAGGAACCATTTATCTCATCACCTTGATTTTAATGTGTAAAAAAGCAACAGTTGTCAGATTTGGAGATAGTAGGAACTGCAGATGCTGGAGAATCCGAGACAACAAGGTGCAGAGCTGGATGAACACAGCAGGCCAAGCAGCATCATAGGAGCAGAAAAACTGACATTTCGGGCCTAGACCCTTCATCAGAAATGGACAATTGTTTAAAAAATACATCAATTACGTGAATCTTCAAAGATTTAACCATCATTATCAATGAAATACTCACCTTACCAGCTCCATCCTTCCCACTGACCAACCACAATAACCCACTACCTACATCCAACTATCTCCATCCCACCTACCATAAGCAACAACACCACGCGACCCCCACCACCTGCCTCCTCCATCTATTTATTTCTGGGCTCCCCTCCCCCTATCCAGTGCTGATGAAGGGTTTCGGCCCGAAACGTTGACCTACCTGCTCTTCGGATGCTGTCTGACCTGCTGTGCTTTTCCAGCTCCACATTTGACTCTAGCATCTAGCATCTGCGGTCTTTTCTGTCTCCAAGTCGCTGAAAACCATACTGTGAAGTCTCTTCTAAGGATGCCCACCTTGAAGAAGATTTCCTCCTCCCTCCGAAGAGAGTTCAGTGAGTCTCTCTCCCACTGCAACCCCTTGGTTATCTACTGTGCCCTGAAGCTCTTCAACCATATTCTGAAACAATCCTGCTACTAGTTCACCAGCTTCAAAATCTCTCCATTCCCAACCTGTCCATCTCCTGACTTACCTAATGGTTCCACCCTTCCCGCTGACCAACAACAATAACCCCCTACTTGCATCCACCAAACTCCATCCCGGCCACCCACCCCCAAGCCCCCTCCCTCTATTTATTTATGGGCTCCCCTCCCCCTTCCCAGTCCTGACAAAGGGTTTCAGCCCAAAACGTTGACTTCCCTGCTCCTCGAATGCTGACGGACCTGCTGTGCTTTTCCAGCTCCATATTTATTGATCCCCTTTTAATTCCTAGTTTTCATTTTGTTGAAGGTTAGTTGTCCCAAATATTCTTTGGTTTAATTTAATAAACAAAAACACTTTAAGTTTGATCTATTTGTGTATAACAATGTACCTGTTACATCAGAAATCCAGCCCATGTTCTTACTTTATTTATTCCGTACATATACTGTGATATCATAGAGTAAGCTTCACTCTGCCCATAAGGCGGATTCAAAGAGTACTTTAATCAGTTCAATCACCTACTTAAAAATGGATCTTCCTCAGCCCCACACCATAATTAATAGCCAACAGCTTGGGCTAAACCATTTTCCACTTATTTCAGGGAAATGTTCATTCTACATTTGTTCTGCAGTTAGAATTAATGAATCCACGTTAGCAATGTATTTTTTATATTTTATATAAATTCAGAATTTATTGATTTTCTCACAATATGACACCTTAAACTATAAATCATGAAGTCTTGGACGACCAGTCAACATTTCCAATTGTAACTATCATTTAAAAATAAAATTTAAATCTGATGCTCTAAGTCCCAGTAACAAAAGTATAAAAAGAACTTTGCATCTACTGAATAGAACCAGCTATTTGTTTTCCTGTTAAATAATGAAACATTACCTCACTAAGTATGTCTGACTGAAAACTAAGCTCTTCCCAGGGATACCTGAAGGTTACATGACCTACAAATCTCAGCTAATCTCATGTAATCCTCTGTTTCCAAACTGATTCTCCATGTACTGAAATAGAAGACGAGTAGAAATAGGGACTCTCAGCTGTATTTGTGCCTAGTTTTGTTGACTTTGAAACATGCATCTGATTGCTGTCTTTTTCTTGTTAGCCACAATTCTTACAAAAGTATCTTCCTTCTGTCCTTCTCAGTGCACGTGTACTTTCCACAGTCGGAGTGATGGCACTGGAACCAGGTAAGTCAATTAACAACAAATAGTCAGGCGGTTACAATAGTGCTATAGCTAAACAATGCTCTATCAATGTAGAGTAATACATTCAATTTTGAATCCAGTTAATTTTACAAAAACTGCAAGAATGCACCTTCAGAAGCCATTTGTTTAAAATTCTTCCTAAGAATACTATTGATACCCTTCAACAGTGAGGATAAAATTCATTTTTATTCAGCAACAAAGTGTTTAAGAATACAAACTATATAGTACAATCTGCCTGCATTGTAGAATTTAGAATCTAATAGCACAACGCCAAGAACACAGAAGTGTATTTTTAAAGGGATAGCAGGAACTGCAGATGCTGGAGAATCTGAGATAACA